CATCCGGTGGTCGCCAGCACGCTCTCCCAGGGCCGGGCTTCTCCTCTCGGTGTCCCTAACCTTCTAAAAATGCAGCCTGGAGTGTGTTGTAATCTCTGGGCGAAGGCCTAAAGAGTCAGTGACCTCCTCAGTGCTAACCCAGATTTGATGTGGGATCAACAGTGAGTCATTAGCCTTTTTTTTCGCGTCTGCGTTTCCTCTAGGAAAAATGATCTGTCATTCTTTCATATCTTTATATGAAAGATGCTGCGACTAGGTTACATCAGCGTGTTCTCACCAGGGGAAAGTCGGAATTTACAAAGTGCAGCTCCGTAAGTGGACCCCAGGGGTCGCTGTGGAGACACAGAGGGTGCCAGGTCCCTCTGCCAGGTCAAGGGGTCCCCACCTGCCCCTCTGCAAAGCCCAGCCTCCACGGGACGGGGACTCCTCAGGGGAGGCTCGCGGCGAGCTGTTCTCGCTTGGCAACAAAAAGCCTGCCCAACTGCTTCAGTTATAAACAATATTTACTTCTCCTAGTCTTTGAAAAGTAAAAGAAGGAAAGGAGAGGAAATCCTGAAAGAAGAATGTGACCCAAGTTTACTGGAACCACAGTTAGGCACTAGAGTTAGTACAAGCAATGACACAATAAAAATGCAGAAGTTGAAGTTTGGTCTGTTGTGTATTAATAACTCAATCATTCTAGACGTCAAGGGGTCAAATCCGATTGTCTCTGATCTTTCTCTTTTTCTTTCTCACACATCCTCACACAGAGAATCTTAAAAAATAAAATCCCTGGATATAAAGCAAAAATACTACTATGTTCCAGCAATTGCTAATATTTTCCTTCATTGGGCAACTGGCCAATAGTCCAGCAATCTGTATACAGAAGGACATGTCCATGAATAGAATCTTAAGTCGAATTCCCCAAAACCATAGTGCTATTAGTATTCATTCTACATTCCACGATTTCACTTGGAAAATTACAGGGGAAATAGAAAAGGAGATTGTTTGCTATTAAAGATTTAACATTCGTGTGAAACAATTACAAAGGAAACCTCATTGTGATGTCTCAGGCTGTATATTTTGGTTTATCTAACTCAATATGATAGAATAAACCAACACAATTATTTACTTTCTTCGGTTGTCTAGGTTGGAGATCCCACTCCTCATTAACATGAACTGCTTATTCTCCTTGCAAGGAAAATCCAAGACAATTCCTCATTTCTTTTTTCTCTGTTCTGACTAACATCACAATGCTGCTGACTGAAGTTACTGATGGGTGGGGCAACATCATTATTTAGGCTAAATGAATGGGAAGTTTTGAGGTCTCCAATTTAGGTGCTTTAGGATGATAATAATAAAGTATCCACCACACAAAATGGTCCAATTCAAGCTCCCATCTCATGAAGATAATTTTCTGATTATCTTTCCATTCAATGCTCTCATTTTAATCTCCTTTTGATCATACAGATATTTGATTTTTAGGGTTATTACTTTTAAAATGGGACTCCTCGCAAAATTCAGTAACCCAAAATCAATAGCAGGGTTACGAGGGCTTCTCAACATGCGCATTACTGGCGATTCTTTGATGTATGTGCTGGTGGTGGTGGGTGGAGGGAACCTGTCCTGTACATTAGAGGATGGTTAGCGACCGTCCCTGGCCTCTACCCATGATATGCTCGTGGCATGCCTTCCCTAAGGGTCATGACAGCCAAAACTCCAGACTTCGCCCCGGGTTCCCTGGGAGGTGGGGGCCAGGGCAAAATCACCACCTTTTAGAACCCCAACACTGCCTGGTTTGTTACAATTAAAACAAGTGAGAGGAAAGATAGAAAATGAAACTTACTGTCTCTTTCTTTTTTTGACTGCCCAAGCCTCGACAGATTTTAACTGTCAATCATCTGGATTCTCAGTCTAGTGGACGGAATCACTCTCGAGATTTCTAAAGCTTTGTGCAGTGTCTTTCCAACAGATTATGGCTTGAACTGCAGATGGCTTGTCAAAAGGACTGGGGCGTCCACAAATTCCCACTGCGTAAACTATCGGTAAACCTTAGCATAACTCCACTTTGAGCCTTAAACTAACAGCATGTGAAAAGATCAATATGAATAAATTCAAAACTAATCAGACCCTTTCTTTAAATGTTGACACAGTATTATTTATATCCCATAAATACCTTCTTGACTAAAATTCATCCTAGGAGATTGGCACCTGGCCAGTTCTATTCATATTTACTGTATTTATACAGTATACCGGGCCAAGGATAATATTTAAAACAAAATATGCCTGAGGGCATATACAATATCTCTTATATTTTTACTTTTAAATCTCCACATTGCTAAAAATATGTAGTCTGAACTGTATAAAATGTCCCACAAAGAGCTATCAGCGATCTGTAATGATATATAGCTCATTGAGTATAATTAGGGCATATTTGTAATATTTGAGCTGAAGTCACTCCCTGAACGCTAATAAGTTGATGGTAAAAAATGAACCAGTGATCTTTCCCATGCCTTCATCTCTGGGGCTTATGACCCTTGCCGGATTCACTGCAAGAAATGACAGGCACACTCCCTCCCTTCAGCCACTTCAGTGACGCCTGAGTTGAGAGTTGGGCAGAAAAGTCCTGAAGAAGGAAAGCTATAGTATATAAGCCAATGCTGTACTTTCAATTTGCTCTTTAAAAATACGGTGGAGTGATTTCTTCTTTTCTTCCTTTTTTTTGGAAGGGTTCACTATATTCCAGTATAACTAGAAAGTGCTGGAAAATCAGTTAACCTACTTTCTATAAAATTATCCACAGTTCTTGCACAGTAGTATCCAATCTACTCTTAATATGCTTCTCTGCCCCTAAACTTCCATAGAAGCCGGTATTCTCTATATGAAAACTGATAGTATACTTTTTTTATACTGCACCTAGCAGAGCTTTTAATCTACTTGGTGGCTGGAGGTGGGATGGAGTAGAGAATCCACACACTGATCTGAGCTGTCATCCTCTGAAATCCTAACGTTCTGAGAATTTTTCCAGTTTGGGGATGATCATTTTCCCAGGTTGGATCACCTCGGCTCTTTGGACTGAGGTGTGCCGGAAGGAACAAAGAATCAACACTCTCTTAGGTAACTGGTTCTCCCCACACCTGTCTAATGATGAGGAAGAAATCAGACCTCCTGTGCTGGCAATTCATTTGAACTTCTGCTGGTAAACCCGGTTCAGATTCTATATAACCCACTTTACTTGCCCGCCTGCCCAAATACCAGTAGACCGGATACACGTGCTTGAGAAAGCAAACTGACTCAAACTCTCTGTTTGGTCTCAATCATTCTGGACCAATTACAGTGAACTTGTTTTCCTAATATCTCCTTGGCTCCACCCCAGGTAGAAAGCTTTACTTCCTGAGGGGAATAACCAGGGCGGTGTGTATTTATCACCACTGTTGTGGATGGTGCCTAATTACAATAATAAAACCATCCTGCTTGCCAGGATCTCCCGCATCTACTCTGCTCGTGGACAAGAAGAGAAGGTGCAGGAAAAAGAAAGGTGGCCAGGAAGACTGGCGTGAGATCCATGGGCTGACATTCTGAGACTGTCAAGTACAAGACATGGCAAGTCACAGAACTAGGACTTGTCAAACTAAAAATAAATATTAAAAAAGAGAAGTACCACCCTGCAATTAGAACCTCTAGGAGAAAACTATCAAGATGGCCATATTATCTATTTAGGCAAGACACAGAGACTTTGTGAAGGCAGCCAGCAAGTATATAGGGCATGGAAAGGGGAGGAGAGAAATGGGCAACCAATGAAAAAGTTTATGACTTGGGATTTGGGATACGCAAATGTTGAAGCTTTTTTTTTTTCCTTCTTCTTCTTCTTCCTAGTATTTAACCCTCTCAGGTATCACTGGATGCTGCTTCTCCTTTTCTTTTCTTTCTTTTTTTTCCCCCTAAGAACTTGGAAATCATTCTCAGCTAACTGCCCTCTTCCCTTCCCCCCAGAGGAACTGCGATAAATCACGTCACTCCCGCTGCTACTGTATGCCAACTGGTTTTGAGGACGCTGCCCTCGGAGAAGCCAGTTGAAAAAAAAAAAAGAAAAAAGAAAAATCGGCTGTCTTCTACCCTCTGTGAGATTTAGGAATGCACCGAAGTAACTGCAAGAAAGCCTGAGAGAGCCCAGGGAGCCGAGGGCGGCTCAAGAGTGAGAAAGATAAACGGTAAACCCGTAAGGAAAATGATCTGCTCCACCAGCGATCTTAAGAAGACAGGTCTGAGGGAATACTGAAAAATAACGCGAAGTAAACACTTTTTTAACATCGTCAAAAACGAAGTTGTCCTTCCTGCCACTCCAGGTGACATCAAAGGGGGACGTGGTGACAAGATCTCGCCTTTGCGGGGTGTAAGCACCCAGCTGTGACAAGAGATGCAAGAATTGAGGGTTCGGAGGTATTTTTCGAGGGGTCTCCAAATCGGGTTTTGCCTTGGCGATGCTGACATTTTCAGGGGCGTTAGAGACAATAGAGAAGGCTTGAAGAACCCGCTGATAGGTCGGCCCCGAAAGGGGCGCCTTCCGGAGAGGCTAGCTTTGAGCCACTTTTTTTTTAACGCTTCGTGCGCCAGTTCGGCGGGCTCCACTCAGCCCGCAGCAAAGAAAACAAGCCCACCGAGACGTCCCGGGCTAACTCGGCCCCGGGGAGCGCCTCTCGTTTGACAGAGGAGGGGGGCTGAGTCCTGGCTGGTGGCCGGGAAGAGATTTTCAGGGGCCAGAAGGAGAGCATAACGCCTCGTACGGGACCGAGGCCTTGGGGGAAGGGAGACATGGAGAAAATCAAGTCGAAAGTCGCGGACTGCAAGCCTAACGCTCTCAGGCACACAACCAGCAAGGAGGTGGGTGGGACGGAGGACCGGAGAGGGGGAGCGCAGACCGGGACCCGGAGCGGGAAGGGCCGTCCCTGGAGTCGTGGCGTCCCCGAGAGCCTCGGGCAGCGCTAAGCCTCAGGGAGTGGAAGCGAAAAAACAGTACTTACTTTCCGAGGGGAAGAAGGGCGGCATGTCTATTTTGTAAACCTCCTTGGCGTAGTACTCCTCGTCGCTCCTCTCGCGCTCGCAGGCGGCCGCCCTCCGGCTCGCCTTCTCCTGGAGCAAGTCCCTGGTGCTGTTGTAGATGGAAATCACCTCCGGGGGGACTTCCTCGGGCTCGGGATAATCTTCTGGGGGGCTGGTGAGCTTCAGCTTGCTCAGGATCTGCCCGCGGATCGCCTCGATCCTCTTGCGCATGAACTGGTCCATATCGAGCGTGCTGCAGGTAGACAGGCTGAGCGCGGCCGTGACCAGATGCAGGATCAGAAAAGCGCTCAGCACACAGTAGTGCATTTTTTTTTAAAGGTGGAAAAAGTTAAAAAAAAAAAAAAAGTAAAAAAAAAAAAACTAAGAAAAAAAAGAAACCAACAACTCTCAAGTACAGATCAGGTAGATTTTTTTTTTTTAATGCGAAACTTTTGCAAACAATCGAGAGTCAACGTCCAATAGAAAAAGGTATCTTGCTTGAATTCCTTTAAAAAGAAAATGCAAGTCTTTCCAAAAGTGAAAATATTAATACACGATGGGCAGGGGGAACCCTAACTTTGGGGAGTAAGAAAAAGTTTTCTTGGAGCGACGAGATGGGGGGAAAAAAAGAGACGAGTGGCTATTAGGCAGGAATAAATTTAAGAGGAGGAAACGGAGTTCAGTGTGTCAGTTTCGGGTGCGGAGTGGCGGATCTGAACTCGCCTCCTCCGGCCAAAAGGGAAGAGATGAAAAGGTCCCGGGGCTGGCAGCTGGCGAGCTGGCGGGAGGGGCGCCGGGAGCGCTGTGCGGGGGGCCGCCGAGGCTGGCCGGGCGGTAATTTAGGTATTTAAAGAAGGAGCGGTTCGGCCCTGCCTTCCACTGCGGCGCTGAGAGCGGGAGCAGCCGCGGCTCCGGAGCGGAGAGCGCACACGTGTGTGAGTGTGTGAGTGTGTGAGCGGGTGTGTGCGTGCGCGCGCGTGTGCGCGCGCTGGGGGCGAGCCCGGCGCGCCGCGGGGAGGCGGGTGCGCTCCGCACGGCGCTCGGGACTCGGTCGGGTCCTGCGCGGGCCGCGGCGGCGGCGGCGGCAGAGGCGGCGACGATCCTGCTCCCGGAGCTGCTGCGCGCGGTGGCCGACACCCCGGCCGGCGCGCGCCAACCCGCCGGGCTACTCCACGTCGTGCCGCCGCTAGCAGACGCGTCCAGCCTCCACCTCCCTCCTTCTCCTGCTCCTCCTTCTGCTCTCGCTCCAGACGCCAACCCGGCAACAGACGACCGGCTGCCGCCGTTGCCTTCAGCACCGGGGACGCGCTGCCTAGGGAGTGTTATTCCTGAGGGGGCTGCGAGGGGGTCCCTTGGACTCCCACCCTTTCCCACCCTTTCCTGGTTTCTCTCCCACTCGGATTTCTCGCGGCGAGTAGGTGGGCACTTGGCACCCTGCGATAGACCCTCTCCTTCGCCTTTCTGCCGCCGGGCAACCCCTCACTTTGCTCCCATGGCTCCCTAGACCGTTATACTATGTTCTCCATCCCTTTCCCCGTGTCCCCGTCACTTGCGCTCCTGCTCTTCTCTGTATTCCTTTCTCTGCCTCTCTCTCGCTCTACCTCTCCTGTCCGCCTTTCTCTCTTCTCTCTCTCCCTCTCTCTCCCTTTCTTTTCTCTCTCTCGTCGGGAGCTTCTGGAGCTCCCCTCGGAGCGAACCTTATGCTGCCAGCAGATAACATCACGATCTTGCCTGGGAGGAGAGATTTATAAGTTCTCTCTGAACCACGTGTTTGCCTTCAACAAAGTGACGTGCTAGGATTACAGTCAGAAGTCCTCTCGTTTACTTAGACCACGAGCTCTCCCTGAACCATTGAGGGGGTGTGGAAATGAGGACGGCTGTGGGGAAGGGAGGGAGGAGGTGGAGTGTGCGCCCTGACAACAGTGATTTATGATATTTACTTTATATAGTCATTTTGGACCTGTCTGTTGAAGGACAAGCTATCAAGCCTCCCGTTTTTACTTAGTGTGGCTCACTCACAGCCTCCCAAACTGAATCACTTGCTCTAGAAAGTCTTCCTTCTGTATTGTACATACACACACACACACACACACACACTCATGTGAATGGGCATCACACAGTTTACTGAGGATACCCCCAGCCCTGACACATGCTTCCAATCTAAGATTCACTTCCCACCTTTTTAGTGGAATCATTTTCTGAGATTCCCATAACACTATGCTATACCTCTATCCTAAAGCTCATCTTACTACGGTTTGTTGTTTACAGTCTAGTCCCCCATTTGACTGTGAACTGATGAAAACATGAAAACAGGGCTCAATCTTTTTATCTAGAGAATGAAGTACATTTACTTGTTTCACTGTTTGAATGAATGAATACCTTCTTAATTTGCTGCATATGCCACTTCTTCATATGGCTTTCTCTTCCTCAGCTTCTTCCCTAGTTAGACATTAGCAACCAACTTCATTCTTTCCATAGCATACATCCAGGAAGCTGGAATTTTAAAGTGATGTCTACTGTTATGCACTACACATTACTTGACATTTTCTATTTCAACCTAGTCTCAATTAGATGAGTCCAAGAATGATTCTTGCCACTGTTCACTTTTCCCTTTGTCTTTTACCTTCCGTTACTCAAAGTCAACATTTTCATTTCATCATGACTATGGCCATACTGACTAGAAAGATGATTTAAAGTGGAAATTCTGTTGAGTTTCCCCCAAAACTCAAAGCCTCTCTGTTATTCCCTAGTTCAGATGTTTCTTTTCCACAGTAAGTGGTAGAGCTGCATTTTACAGTCAGGATCCATTGTCTGTGGACTTCTAAGATGCTGTATGTAAACTGGTATGAGAACATGTCTGACAAATATGGATTCCATAGTGAAGTAAGTTTGGGAGATAATGGGTCCCTGTTGCTTCTTACAGATCCACAATTCCCATCATCATGTTAAAGGCTCTGAAAATCTTGCAGGAAAAAAACAAACTGTTCAGCTCTTTTAACCTAGCATATTCTGAACTCCCCTTGAACATGGAATTCTTTACCTATTAGGGCACATTGGAAAGCTCTGAAATAAAGAGATTGATCCAATCCACTTCTGAAAGTTATGTATAAATCAGCATTAGCAGTTTCCTTTCCTTGAGGCCACTTTCAAATTGAAGTGGCTTGAAAAGAGTTGGACAACCAGCTGCCATGCTAACAGCCAATGCAAAATATAATCAAAAAGGAGATCCTGTGGGGCTAACTTTCCCCCAGACTCATCGAGCTGCTATCCTTTTAGTTCAGTTTGACAACTGCAAAAAACCAGCTCTACACCAAGGGGGCAAAGTGAATATTCGTATACCTGAGGCAATTCTAAAATGTAGAGGACTTGCAAACTAGAGCTAGTGACTGAAGATGCTGCCTTGGAGTATGGCTGGTTACCTCCATCATGATACTCTGCTGAGGTCATAGGTTCAGCCTCCCCACAAACCAGGGAGATTACCTTCTTGGTATAGACACCAATTTACCTGGGAGGTTAAGTGGATTCAGATTAGAGTATGTATAGATTAGCCAAAGTCCTCCTACATCACTTTGAGGAAAACAATGTAAGCAATAAATTCTTCTGATAACCCTTCCCAACATAAACATACACACTTACATCCATAATACTTAGTTTGTTGAGCACTTACTGCTAACTTAACAACCCCTTAGACCCCCTGGCCTATTCATAAGAGACTACTTCTAATTTCCCCAAAGCCCAGGAAAGTAGGGCAAGGGAGTGGATGGTGAAATGTGGCATGGGCAAGTATAGTAACTCAGGGCCAGCAGGAGTGGAGTCCCTTTCCACCTCTCAGGTAGGAACCCTCTGAAGATGTAAACAGGTGAAGACTATACGAGATGCCTCCACAAATGGATCCTTTCTTCTTTTAAACTCTCCTGGAGCCTTTTGGAGCCTTTTCATCTCTATATTCAAGAATTAAATATTCACTAAATTTACTGAGATCTTATGTGGGAAGGACTTCAGACAGTCTTCATGGTAAAAGGCTACTTAACTCATATAGATCACCTTGATTACCTTGAAAAGGTATTTAACCTATATAAACCATCTTGATTACCTCAAGGAGGCAGAGAGAGCATAGTGGTTAAAGAACAGGCTCGAGAGTCAAGTTTTCTTGGGTTCAAATTTTGGTCACTTTCTGGTTTTGTGATCCTGGCCAAGTTACTCAGATACTGTGTTAGTTTCTTCATCTGTGAAAAGGGGACAACACATAGTACCAACAAGATTATTGAGTACTGAATTACACAAGTCACACAAAACACTTCCAACAAACCTGGCACTTAGTATGTGCTCATTAAATGTTACCCACCCTTTTTATATCCTCTCATTTCTTCATTTTTGTCAGAGACTGTGTAATAAAACACATGTGGTCTCTACTCTTTCTCAGATATAAATAGAATGAAAAAGCTAGGGAAGATGCTAATAAGACTTTGCTTCATGGTTATGCCTCCTAGCAGTTTTGGTAAGTACATTCCCATTCAGTTATTTTAAACAGTCTGGTATTTTGCTCCCATGAATTGTAGGAAGACAGGACAAGAATATATACTTCTGGTGAACAGAACTCTAAACGACAGAAGCCCAGTTAAGCAGAAATTCCAGATTAAGGTCTCTTATTATTTAACACCCTAAAATGGACTTCTTTGTTTTCCAGATCAGAGAGGCAGAGGGTGTGGCCGTTTCAACCACTAGCCCTGCTCTGCTCATTAGTGGGTCTATTCACTTAAGTAATGTGGAATTCCTACAAGATGTTAAACAAATGTCTGATACCGAAACTACTCATCCCTGTCCAGGGTTTTACCCTGTGGATCCTAGGCAAGAGTTTATGATGTAGTAGGTCCTTCCTGACTAAAGAAAGAATAACTTCATTTGCAACAACCTTGAAAGCTTCCTGCAAGGGCTTCAGGCATTAGAAAACCAGGAGGTAGGGAAAAGAAATCTATAGAACTAGTGACACTTGCTAAATACAAAATAACGCTTTAATGTGAAAATATATCAAAGCCTTTTAGGTTCTTCTAATTTTATATTTGATGCAATTCAAAAACACTCTTTGGTCTATAAAAAAATTTGTCTCATGTTCTGTTATGTATTTCTGTAGCTAAACAAACTTCTGCTCTCAGAATAATGAAATGGAAAGGTTAGTGATTTCCCCATGAAAAATAATCCAATTACTAACTCCACTTTGTATCTGTAGGTTAATCTAAGACAGAAGTGATAAGGAGGGGACAATAGGCAGGAAGGAGAAAGCTTAAAGAGAAGATCAGAGGTGGTAAGAGATAAAGGGATCAACTCAAGAGATAAGGACTAGAGAAAAACAGCACAGCAGAGATAAACTCACACTGTAATGGTACTCTGCGGGAACATTTGTCTTACACTTTGGAATTATGATTAGCTGATGGATTACTGCTTGTGGCTTTTGGGCACTTACATCTCTACATATCACTATTTTTCTGCTCTGAGAGTTCCAACGGGAGGAAGTCTTTCTTTGGGAGGCAGTCTCTCCGTGGCCTGGGCTTTGTCAGCCCCAGGGTCTACTGAAATCTGGTTTCTTGCCTCTGGTGAAAGTCATCCACTAAAATAGCATTTAGTGACTGATATAAATAAATGCACATATGGG